ACCCAAATGTCCATCCACTGAGGACTGGATAAGAAAATTGTGGTACTTTTATATAATGGAATATTACTCAGCTATAAAGAAAGATAAACTCAAGGCCTTTATAGGTAAATGTTCACAACTAGAGACCATACTCATAAGTGAAATAAATCAGACCTGCATATGCATGCACTGCATTGTCTCACTAGTGTAAAAGCTGAACAAGTTAATATAAATTTGGAGGTATGACAGACGTTGTGATTTTTAGGGTTTTTTTTTTTTTTTCCCGATACCAAGAATCGAACTCACGACCTTGCACTTGCCAGGCAGGCGCTGTGCCACTGAGCTAAATCCCCAGCCCCCAACATTGTGAAATGATACGAAAACGCTCAAGGGTAAAGGGCACCTGGGATGTGGGAAAAGAGAAGGGAAAGAACGAGAAATTTTGTATGTATGTGTATACAGGATAGTTAACATAGTTGATCTTATGTCTTCTATTTCTTTGCGGAAAGAAACTGTTAAAGAGTCCCTGATTGATCAGTATTTCATGTCTCTATTTGTTTTCATGAGGAACCACTTTGAAGATATCAATATGTAATACAACAAGCACTGTTAATTTCCTACCACTTTGTAACTCTATTGTCTGTACTGTTCTTTTGCTATTTTGTAAAAGGTTGTCTGTCTGTTAATGTTTTTCTCCCTTTATTTTTAAAATAAAAAAAATAAAGAGTGAGTTTGTTAATATTCAAAGAGTGAACTGGAAATATCTTTTCAATGCAAAATGTTATTGAAGAATGAATGTATATTATGTAAATGAGAATCATATTAGCTTTATTTTATAGTATATTCATTTGAGTCAAAATATGAAAAACTCAATACCAAGCAAAATTCTAATAAATCATATTTTCTATGCAATTAAAGATGAAATGAAGAAGCCAAATGCATAAAATATAAGCAGTATTTAAAGTTATATTGACAATTACAAAGATTCAGAATCATAATTAAATTACCTATCACCTACTTACACCTAGATGGTAAGTTACTTATATTAGTGATTTAGGAAAGTAGTGCATCATTTATACTGGTGTTTCCAATCTTTATATTTTGAATAGTTTAGGGATACAAAGAAGTAATGTAAGAGTTCCTGAAACCAACAGGCACATGTATATTTTCTCAATAGACACTCCCAGTTGATGGTGAAATTATTTTTGAGATTAAAACAGAATCCTCATTTTTTCCAGCTGAAAATTATCCCTTTGTATATCTTCAAAAGTAAATAATTTTAAGAATTATGTCCTATTCCTGATCACTTACTACTTGAACAAGTTACAGAATTTTTTTAAAAGCACAGTAAGTGTCAAGGTAAATATCAGTATTTAAAAAATAAAACTTTGATCTTAGACATTTTTAAAAGGTAAATTAAGGGGCTGGGGATTTAGCTCAGCGGCAAAAGCGCCTGCCTGGCAAGCGCA